GTGCTCTACCACTTGAGCCATAGCACCACTTCCGGCTTTTTAAAAAAATTTTGTTTATGTGATGCTGAGGAATCGAACCCAGGGCCTCCTGCGTGCAAGGCAAGCGCTCTACCACTGAGCCACCTTCCCAGCCCTCTTCCCTCTTCTTCTGTGCTAGTCCTAGGACTTGAACTCAGAGCCTGGGCACTGTCCTTTAGCTTTTTTGCTCAAGATTAGTGCTGAGCCACATAAGCCACAACACTACTTCTGCTTTTTTGGTGATTAATTGGAGATAAGAGTCTCACAGACTTTCCTGTCCAGGATAGCTTTGAACTGAAATCCTCAGATCTCAGCCTCCTGAGTAGCTAGGATTACCGGTGTGAGCCACTGCTGCCAGCTTGAAATTTGTTTTATTAGAATTATTGGCCAAAACTGAATGCAATAAATTCTTGAATAAGGGGAGCTTTCTGTTATCTTAAGCTGAAATTACTATAAGCCAAAAATGCATTTAATATACATATGCCTGGAAAAAGATGTAGTTGTTTTTTGGGGGGTGTGGGGTGTGGTGGGGTATAGTAATCAGATTTGAACTCAGAGCCTTGTGCTTTCTAAGCAAGTACTCTTACCACTGAGCCATGTCTCCAGTCCTAGTTTTTGCTGGTTAGATAGGGTCTCATTTATCTTGGGCACAATCCACCTGTTTGGCTTCCTGGTAACAGGACTACTGGTGCATGTCACTGTATCCAGCTCTTAAGAAGGGGTCCTCATTTTTTGTCAGTTGTGGGGCTTGAACTCTGGGCCTGGGCGCTGTCCCTCAGCTCTTCAGCTCAAGGCTAGCTCTCTACCACTTTATCTATAGTGCCACTTCTGGTTTCCTGAGTGGTTTGTTGGAGATAAGAGTCTTATGGACTTTCCTGCCTGGGCTGACTTTGAACCATAATCCTCAGATCTCAGCCTCCTGAGTAGCTAGGAATACAGGTGTGGGCCACCAGCACCTGGTTTCTTTGTGTGTGAATGTGTGTGTGTATGTGCCTGTACTGGGGGTTGAACTCAGGGCCTCATACACTTGCTTAGCCTTTTTGCTCAAAGTTGGCACTTTACCACTTGAGCCACACATCTACTTCCAGCATTTTGCTGGTTAATTGGAGATAAGAGTCTTATAGATTTTCTAGCCTTGACTGGCCTTGAGCCTTAATCTTCAGATCTCAGCCACTTGAGTAGCTAGGATTGCAGGTGTGAACTATCAGTGCCCAGCTTGAAGGCATCTTGAGGACTTTTTTCAGCTTAGGTGGCTTTGAACCATAATCCCAGCCATCTCACAAGAGCGAGCCATTGGTGCCCAACTAAAAGATGTACATTCTTAGCTGGTTTCTATTATCTGGGTATTGCTTTCACACTGTCAGCAAATTATAGCCAACTGTCCATCATTACGTGGTTAGAAACCACAAGGGAGAGAAGTGTCAGATAAACATGTCTGGTCTAGAGGGATAGAGGGAGGATTCAGTTATCATGACGACTAGTAATTCTTGGTCCTAGGCATTTCACATGAAATGGCCTCAACTTCCTGGAAGCATATTGGAGAACTTGCATAGATTTTCTTTTGACTATTTCTCCCTTTTCTTTTATTCCTAGCCTTCCACTAGTCGAAAGCGACCCCTTGAAGGGGAAGCGGAGGATGCAGAGAGCACAAAGCGCCTGGCCATATGCACTGCTATGTCATAAACACTGATTTGAATGTGAAAGAAACAGACTTTCTTTCAGTCAGCTGTCATTTTTATTTTCTTGAGATTTTATTTTAATAGTTTTTATTTTAATTATGAGAATAACTTTTTTTCCCACAATCACTGATACATAATTAAAATCCCGACGGAACCTGCTCTTGCACTTCTGCTTGATGAAGAGTGCTGTCGTTTGAAAGTCCTGTCGTGTGCCTTTCATCTGGGATTTCTCCTTGGCTGTTGTTAACCAGGCTAGTACTTTGGGATATTTTTATACTATTAATGCTTAGCATAAATTCTAAAGCCTCTTTAGAAAGTCTCAACGAAAGAGACACAGAGATGGTGGGTGAGTTTGGTGTCTGGCTGCCAAAGATCCCATTTGATGGCAGGTATGTGCCGCACATATCACTAGCCAGGATTTTTTTTGTTTTTGTTTCTTTTAATCTTTTAAAAATTTTTTTCCTGTCCTGGAGCTTGAACTCAGAGCCTGAGCACTGTCCCCAGGCTTATTTTGCTCAAGCCTAGCACTCTACCACTTGAGCCACAGGCCATTTCCAGCGTTTTCTGTTTATGTGGTACTGAGGAATCAAACCCAGGGCTTTATGCATGCCAGGCAAACACTCTACCACTAAGCCACATTCCCAGCCCACACCAGCCAGTTTTAAATTCTCATCCTCAATCCTGGTGTGGTTGTCAAAGCCTGTAATTCTAACACTGAAGAGGCAGAGGCAGGATAATCATGAATTCAGGGGTAACCTGGGCTACCCAAGATAAAATAAAGGAGAAAAGGGAAGAAAATAGAAGGGAAGGGGACAGAAGTAAAGGGGCGTGGAGGGGATTAAAGAAAGGAAAATCCTATTCTCATTCCCATAAAGATTCAAGTCTATAGTCTCTGAAACATTGGGGCTAGATGACATTGGGGCTTGCCAAATTAAAAGGTTTCTAATTTTCAGAAACTGATGAGATTAATATTTCTGCAGCAAATATCCAGAAGAAAAGGGATAAAGATAAGTAGTCTCATCAATTCATGTTAATCTTTTTTGCCAGATGGGTTGTAGATGAGTTGTGTTTCAGAGCTGTTTGGGCTTTGGAAGTAGATCAACATGACAACTGCCCTGGCTAACTTTGAACTGTGATCTTCAAATCTTAGCCCCCTGAGTATCTAGAATTACAGGTGTGCACCACTGGCACTGGCTTATAGTATCTAAATCTTAATAGCCAGTGTGTTCACTTATTATGAATAGAGAGTTACCCAAAGGAGCAGATACACTTTTTTGCCTGTCAGGTGCACTGAGCCTCTTCGGCTGGCTATGGGAACTGTGCTAACCATTGATAGAAGTTGAAACATCTTGGTGGCAAGAAACAGAAGCCCATTCACCTGGTTTCATGTCCTTTCATGTCCTTCTGGACAGGGTGACCCAACCCCTTCTTATATGGCCAGGCTTAGCCAATCTGGCTCAGGAAAGAGTATTAACTCAAGTGTGACCAGTAAAAATCAACTCGGACTCAGGCTAAAATTTCAGGGTAAAAATCCTTAATCTAAAAAATCCAGTATGTTCCCAAATCCAAAATGTTCCCAAACCCAAAACAGTGACATGATGCTGTGTGGGACATTCCATAGAACTGTGTTGCATGCACAAAACTAGTAAATACCTTCAGGCTGTTTAAGGTATATGAAGTGTAAGTCAATTTCACATTTAGACCTGGGTTTCATCTCTAACATATCTCATATATGTGCAAACATTTCAAAATGCAGGAAAAAAATTGGGGAGCTGAGACACTTCTGGCCCCATTTTGGACAAGAAGTGCTCAGGTTGTAACAAGAAATAACCCTTGTTTTCTTGGGTAGATGTGAGCTAAGGACTATATGAGAATCAAGACCTATGATAGATGTGAAAGTTTGAGTTTGGTTTCAGCTACTAGATCAAACTGTGCCTGAAGTTGAGTCACCACCCCGAGACTTTTGAATTATGTGACCATGTATGCTTTTTTTGTTTTGAGTTTGTGTCATTTGTATCTGGAAAAAAAAAAGCTACCAAATAAAATTGATCATTTACACATCTCAAGAAAAGTCCTTTATTTCTAAAAACAAAAACACAAAACCTAGTAGGGAATGTTCCCTACTACTGTTTTTCTGCCAACCTTTTGGGTTTTAAGAGAGGTTTGGACAGGGAATGGAAAGTGAAGATGTGAGAAGAGTCCCTGCAGTCCTATGTTGGGTGAACTCCCAGCTAATTACACTGCAGGGTTTGGAATCAGAGCCCCTATTATTAAACTTTTCGTGTTGGGAGGATAGGGCAGGAGTTACACGAATGAGCTTTGGAGAATGTTTTGTGTGTTCCTGGCAGGCACTGCTGAGGATGTGCACACATGATCCCCCTCAAAAGCTCAGCCACCCAGTGAAGTGTCACTATTGCACACATAGAAATCAAGGCTCTCGATTTCCTGTCCTGTTCAAGATTTCAAGAGATGGAGGTGGAGCTTGTACCTGGTCTAGAGAGAGCACTTGGTTCTTACCTGTTAAAACCACTTAAAGAGTGCTAGGTTGCTGTGCCTCACGCCTATAATCCTAGCGACCCTGAGCTCTGAGGATCTCGGTGTGGAAGCCAGTCTGGGCAGGGAAGTCCGTGAGACTTGTATTTCCAGTTAACCACCAAAAAAGCTGGAAGTGGAGCTGTGGCTCAAGGAGTAGAGTGCTGGCCTTGCGCACAGAGAAAGCTCACGAGTTCAAGCACTAAGATGGCAACAAAGAACAAAGAGACCATCTGGAAACCCCAGGCAGCGGAGTCCCCCCAGTCAGACCTGCGCTACTCGCACTAAGGGTTATTGGACACTCAGGGTGGAGTTCAAGGTCTCCCTCCTCTGGGTCCGGCCTGCTCCAGGGTGCGGGCATGAACCTACGTGCCCGCACACGTGCAGGGCTCGAATCTCACCCCCGGCCCTCGCCCTACCAAGGAGAGGGAAGCCGAAGGGACCGTGCAGGAAGTGGGGGGGCGAAGGGGGTCCGCAGTGTGGCGGGAGGCGGCGCAGAGCCGGAACAGCGCCCCGGCCCTGCTCGGAGCCCGATGGGCGGCGGCGGGAGTGGACGCGACGCCGGGAACAGCACCCGGCTCCAAAGGGCTCCTAGCGGGATGCGCGGGAGAGGGGACGGCGCGACGAGCGTGCGCGTGCGCGGCGTGCGCGCGGACCTCCGCGGGGTCGCGCGTGCGCGAGCGGGGATGCGCGCCGGGCGGTGTGTGTGTGTGTGTGTGTGAGTGTGTATGGGGGCGGGAGGGGGGTGCGGTGAGGAGGCGGCGCGCGGCACGGCGGGAACATGGCGCGCGGGAGCGGTGCGCGCGCCTAGCTGGCGGGACCGTTAGCTGAAGGCGAACGCAGCCCGGGCCCTCGCGGCGATGGAGCAGTCGCTGCCGCCGGCACCTGAGGCGACCCTGGGGTCGACTCCAGCTCGGAGCCGCAGGCGCCGAGAGCCCGAGTCTCCGCCGGCGCCCGCGCCGGTGAGTGCGTGAGGGGCGCGGGCCGGGAGACTTTCTTTGTGAAACTCCTTCGGTGCGAGCCGGGCCGGGCCTCAGCGACTCACGAGAGTCCGCGAGGCGGAAGTCGCCTGGCCGTCCGGGTTCGAACCCTGCGGAGGGCCTCTCCTGGGCGCGACCCGGCCGGGCGCCCGCCGGTCTCCGTTTCCGCGGGAGTGTGTGGGAGCGCGCGGGTGGGGTGGGGGGGCGGTATTCAGTCGGCGCCTAACGCCCGGGGCCCCGCCCCTGGAGGGCGGCCCCGGCCCCGCAGAGCTGAGATGCGGGTGGCTGGCGGACAGGTGTGGGCTGCCCCGGAGCCTCAGGTGGGGCCGGGCGGGAGTAAGCTCTCGGTGCCCTGCAGGCAGCAAGGCGGTGGGTCGGGTGTCTCTCCACTGCGAGGTGCCTGGCAGCTTTCCGGCCCACCCTGGCGTCGGGTTTTGGGGGGGATTTGTCTAGGTGAAGAATGGGTGCTGAGTAAAACGGATTTTGCAGGTGGGGCTCCTGCCCTGTTCTGTGGGCTGCTCCTGAGGACTGGGCCACTGCCACCCCCTTCCCCCAGCTACCCAGGGCATAGCAATAATTGGGGAGCACAAGAAAAATAAGACACCCGACAACCCATCCAACTGGGGTTCAGACTGGCAAAGCAGGTTTTGGGTTAAAATTTTTTTTTTCAATGTTAATTTATTAGTTTATTTTGGTGCGAATACTGGGATTGAACGCTGGGCTTCATGCTCTACATGAGCATTTTCCCTCAAGCTGGCACTCTACCTCTTGAACTACACATCTCTAACTTCTGGTTCTTTGGTGGTTCATTGGAGATGAGAGTCTCACCGACTTTTCTTCCCAGGGCTGGCTTTGAACCTCCATCCTCAGATCTCAGCCTTCTGAGACCTGCTGTGCATATACCACCCGGCTTGGTTTCTGCTAGACCGGATGATGTTTAGTAAATAATTATAGGAAAACTAAATGATGAGGTAGTTTGCAGAACAAGAGACTCTGAGAAACTTTGAGGAACTTCTTGAGATTAATATCTTGCCCAGCTTCACTCTGTATGTGATTTTTTTCTTAGCTCCTAATTGAACTTTTGTGACAGTTTCTCATGCCTTCTTTCCAGTGTGTTCCAGTTTAAAGCTGGGACTAGTTGGCTAGTATAAAGATCAACACTGTATACCATAGCTATGTTAAAATTAAATCCCAAATTAGAAAATGCTTCTTTATTTGTCTTCATTTGGGAAAACTGGGCTCAAAAGATTTTGTTACTTTTCAGAGGTAAACAGTTACAATTTCCATCAAAGCAAATCTGAATTGTTGTTTATTCAGGAAAGTTGGCAATTTGCTAAAACCTGAATATTTGCAGTTTTTATGTAATACTTGGAAATTAGATTTATATTTAGTTGGGAGTCAATGCTTGATATTTCTCATTTTTTTCTTCTTCAGTAGAGTTGTTCACTGAACAAGTTGTTCGGTTCATTTGTTCTATATGCTAGTGTAGAAAGACTCTTGGAGGGCTGGGAAGGTGGCTCAGTGGTAGAGCGCTTGCCTTGCATGCCTGAGGCCCTGGGTTTGATTCCTCAGCACCACATAAGCAAAAACGAAAAAGCCGGAAGTGGCGCTGTGGCTCAAGTGGTAGAGCGCTAGCCTTGAGCTGAAGAGCTGAGGGACAGTGCCCAGGCCCAGAGTTCAGGCCCCATGACCAGACCCCCCCCCCCCCAAAAAAAAAAAAAAAAGACTCTTGGAGTAGAGACTGTATCTGAATAAGAAAAATGGAAAACTTAGGTGATGTCATATCGATATGTTGTTTTGTCTTTTAAGAAACTGGTTTTAGAAAGCTTTATTGAGTTACAGTGTACATAAAATTAACCCCTTTAGCGTAAAAAGTTTTGTGGTTTGTAATGTATTCATTATCATTGTCTACTTTTAAGGCATTTGTGTCACCCCATAGGAAATCCCTTACCCTTAGAAGCCATTCCTTATTCTCCTTTCTATTTCTATGAATTTAGCTATTCTAAACATTTTGTAAAATGAACTCATAATTTTTTTTTGGTGATTGACTTCTTTCTCTTAGCACAGTACTTTTTTATTGCTGAATAATATTCTTTTGAATGGATATACAGATCTTGTTTATCTATCCTAATGTTAATAGGGTTTCTCCCCAGTTTAGGGCTATTTTAGGTAATGAATCCCATTAACATTTGTGTATAAGTTTTAATGTGGAACTGGATTTTCCTGGGTATATTCGTAGGGGTCTCTAGTTTTTTTTTTGTTGTTGTTGTTGGTCATGGGACCTGAACTCTGGACTGGGTGCTGTCCCTCAGCTAGCACTCTACCACTTGAGCCACAGCGCCACTTCCAGGCTTTTTCTGCTTATGTGGTGCTGAGGAATCGAACCCAGGGCCTCAGGCATGCAAGGCAAGCGCTCTACCACTGAGCCACCTTCCCAGCCCCTCTAGTTTTTCTTTTTCTTTTTTTTTGCCAGTCCTTGGCTTGAACTCAGGGCCTGGGCACTGTCCCTGTGCTTCTCTTTTTGCTCAAAGCTAGCACTCTACCACTTGAGCCACAGCACCCTTCTTGCTTTTTCTATTTATGTGGTACTGAGGCTTCATGTATGCTAGGTAAGCACTCTACCACTAAACCATATTCCCAGCCTAGTTCTTTTTTTGAGGAATTGCCAACCTTTTATTTTTTTGGTAGTGTTGTGGCTTAAAGTCAGGGTCTGGGAGCTGTCCCTGAGCTTTTGTGCTTTAGGCTATCGCTCAACCACTTTGAGCTATAGTTCTACTAGTTTTCTGGTGGTTTATTTTAGATCAAGAATCTCACAGACTTGCCTGCCCAGGCTGCCTTTGAATTGTGATCTTTAGATCTCAGTCTTCTGAGTAGCTAAGATTACTGGCATGAACCACCAGCGCCAGGCACAAATATTTTCTGTTCTGAGTTGTATTTTCAGTTTTGTTTGATAATGTCTTTTAATGCATAGCAGTTTTTAATTTAACTTCAATGAAGACCAGTTTATCTCTTTTTTTCTTTGTTGCTCTCTTCTTTGGGTATCGTATCTGAGTTTATTGCCAACTTTAGGATCATGAAGATTTACTCCTGTGTTTTCTCCTTTTTTGGGGTGAGGGGCAGGGAAATACTATATTTTTTTGTGGTGTTATGGTTTAATGCAGGACCTTGCACTCACTTCATTTGCTTGTTTGCTTGCTCCCTCTACTGGTGCTCTCCCACTTGAGCTATACCTCCAGCCTTCTTTTTGTTGGTCATTTTAGGGACACAGTCTCTTGGATTTTCCTTCCTGGACTAGCTTTGAACCATGATCCTTGGGATCTCAATCTTCTGAGTAGCTGGGGTTACAGGTGAAAGCCCCTTGTGCCTGGCTAGTACTGGGGTTTGAACTCAGGGACTTTTGCTTGCTAGGCAGGTATTCTGCTTCTGAGTCACACCTCCAGCCTGAGTTTTATGCTTTTAGTCCTAAATTAAGGTTGCTGATTCCTTTTGAACTAGTTTTTGTGTATGGTGTTAGTCTTCCAAAACTTGTTCTTTTGCATGAGGATATCTAGTTTTCCTAGCAGTCAAAAAGACTGACTGTTCTTTCTTGCATTTAGTGGTCTTCACACTCTTACTGAAAATAAATTGACCATATATGGGATTTTATTTTTGGACTCTGAATTCTATCCTGTTGATATGCATGCATAGATGTCTTTCTGTCTACCTATCTAGCTAGCTATCTGTATCTGCCTTCATACAAGTACTGCATCATTTGTAGCTTTGTAATAGATTTTTTTCTTTTTGGTGCTGGTATTGAGATTTGAAATTAGGGCCTTGTGCTTTTTTTTTTTTTTTTTTTTTTGCTTATAGCTACCACTTGAGTCACACCTCTTCTGGTTTTTTGCTGTCTAAAAGAATTTATCAGATACGTCTGCCTGGATTGGCTTCAAACCTTGATCCTCAATATCAGCCTCCAGAGTAGCTGCGTGAACTGCCGACTCCAGCCTGTAATAGATTCTGAAATGAAGTGTAGTTCCTCTAACAGTTAATTTCAAGACTGGCTATTCTATTTGTTTTCTTTTGGCGGTGGCAGTCGTGGGCCTGAATTCTGGGCCTGGGTGCTGTCCCTCAGCTCTTCAGCTCAAGGTTAGCGCTCTACCACTTGAGCCACAGCTCCACTTCCGGATTTTTTTTTCTGCTTATATGGTGCTGAGGAATCGAACCCAGTGCCTCATGCATGCAAAGCAAGCGCTCTACCACTGAGCCACCATCCCAGCCCTAAGACTGGCTATTCAAAGTCCTTTATTTTTTCACATGGTTTTTAACATCAGTCTGTCAATTTTTGCAAAAACAACTGATTTTTATGGTGATTGCCTTAGATTCATTCTTTTAATTATGTTTGGTAAAAGTCTTGAATTTGAGTATTTTGATATTAGTATGCATGGGGCTACTTTTAAAAATTATTATTATTATTTTGTCCATCATGGGGCCTGAACTCTGGGCCTGGGCACTGTCCCTGTGCTCTTCAGCTCGAGAGCACACTACCTCTTGAGCCACAGTGCCACTTCTGGTTTTCTAGTGGTTTATTGGAGATCAGAGTCTCATGGACTTTTCTGCCTGGGCTGGCTTTGAACCATGATCCTCAGATCTTAGCCTCCTGAGTAGCTAGGATTACAGGCGTGAGCCACTGGTGCCCAGCTTACTTTTTAAATTTTTGTGCTGTACATTTTTTTTTTTTTTTTGTCAGTTGTGGGGCCTGAATGCTGGGCTTGGACACTGTTCTTCAGCTCTTCAGCTCAAGGCTAGCGCTCTACCACTGGAGCCACAGTGCCACTTCCAGCTTTTTCTGCTTATGTGGTGTTGAGGAATTGAACCCAGGACCTCATGCATGCAAGGCAAGCACTCTACCACTGAGCTACCTTCCCAGCTCTGTGCTGTACATTGTTAGAAATGTAAGTTTACTTTTGCATATATATGTATTTTAACTTTATCATTTAGTGATT